CCTATCCTAACAAACCATACATCAATTGAAAGCTTATTTATTCAGGTGTACCGACCTGGAACATGTTCCTAAAGTTGTTGAGGTCACCGAAGAACTCTTCTGGACTCATTTTCTTGGGGTCGAAGACAAAGTACTCGCCCAAATCCTCATACTGCTTCTCCATGTTCTCATGCATCAGCTTGAGCTTCTCAAATTGCTCACCAGCCGTTGCGACAAAACTGTACACAACTTTGTCAAGGAAAAATCACACGCTATTATGATTCACTGTAACTCAGTCGTGTAGGACTCAACATTTATATTTATACTGTAAGAAATTACATCAGAGAGCAAGTACTAGAACAAACATCCTCACGAACTTCCTGAATGGATTATCATTCATGAATTCATAAGCTCATGTTTGTTCTGGAACCCAAACAGGAAGTGATGTCACAATGTATAATCGACCCTGTATTTTTATAGCATTATTGTTTGAGGAAATGACTGTGGAAACCAAAGTGACACTTCCTGTTATGCAACAGGCCCGGGAGGAAGTAAAGGATATGGTCATTTTCTCTACGAATTTGTCTCTGTCACTCTGCGGAGGGGGGAACGTCTCGATGTCTTTCTCCAGGTCTTTAATCTGCTTTCCCATCTGATCTAGATTCTTCTGAAGTGTCTCTGCTGACACTGAGAGAGGAAGAGAGAGAGAAAATGATGAATATAAATACATAACCATTCTGAAATGAGATTAGTAGCACACTACCGTTCAAACTATTTTTATTGATTCTGAAAGCAATAGCCAACAATACATTCTTCTGCTTAGCAAGGGTGCATTTATTCGATCAAACACAGTCAAAAAAAATTTAATATAGTGAAATATTATTACACTTGAAAATACGTGTTTTCTATTGTAATATATTTTAAAATGTAATTTATTCCTGTGATCAAAACTGAATTTTCAGCATCTTTACACCAGTCTTTAGTGTCACATGATCCTTCAGAAATCAATCTAATATGCTGATTTGCTGCTCAAGAAACATTTCTGATTATTATCAATTTTAAAAACAACTGCGTTGCTTCATATTTTTGTGGAAACTGTCATATATTTTATTTTTCAGGATTCTTTAGAATAGACAGTTTAAAAGAACAGCATTTATTTGAAATAGAAATCTTTTGTAACATCATGAATGTCACTTTTGAGCAATGTAATGCATCTTTGTTGAATAAAAAACAATCTGAATACAAAACATCTGAATGCTAGTTTATATAAAATAATAAAATAACAATCGATGAGATTGAGACAGACCTCTGCTGGCTTTCTCCACGTGGATGAGCTCCTCTGAGAAGGTCATGACCTCAGGATACTGCTCCTGACATATTTCCGCCAGGAAGTGCAGTAGAGTCTGTTTCTGATCGGCTGATTTAGTGTCTCTCAACTAAACACACACACACATTTGTTTACTGCCAACTTTGTGGTGACCAACACATCAGGCACTTTCCACAAACAGGGTACAAACCGTAACATTTCAAAAGCTTTAAGAGGCACAAATCACATGTTCTTTAGAAAGAGAACTATTAGATATGTTAGATAAGCTATTAACTCACAGAAAATGAAGTAGAAAAAAGTTACTCTTTAGAAAGACATCAGATGCACACAAAATGTAGAGTGGACAGCATTCGTCAAACTCATTAATGCAGATTTTGGAAATCACCTTGCACAGGTAACTGATGCTGAAGCCGAAAGCTTTGGCGTTGCGTGATCCTGCGTTCATGAAGTTTCCCAGCAGCAGCGTCATCTCCAGCACTTTGGCGAAGCTCTCACTCTTCCGAAGCTCCTCGCAGGCGGCCGTCACCGCCACCACGTCCGGCTTGACGTTATTCACCTGCTCCTCAAACTGAAGTCTGAAGAGGATGGACGTCAGACGGGGCTTCAGACGCTTCACTGAACTGACCTACAGAGAGATAAACACATGTATCTGAGCAGTGGCGTAGCAAGTCAGCCCAGGGCCCAGGGTTTTTTTGTGTTTAAATTTGTATGCCCCCCCCCAAATGTTATGGGAGCCAACTTGGTTAACTTAACTTATTGTTGATTTTTCTGAAGTAATTAACATTACGTGACTATTCACAAGCTATTTTATTTAAGATATAAATGCTTGGAAATAGCCTAATATTTAATGTTTTCAAGTCCATTCGTTATTTGTATCACTCAAGGCACCCAATAATCGCAATAAACTTTGTGCTTTCTGCTTTGTTACTTTTAACTCTTTAATTTTTAGTGAGATAACTATATTCGCCTCAGTTCAAGCGGCATGTGAATCAATGATATTTTCCCCTTGAATATTGGCAGCATGAAATAAACATGAATAAATATTTAAATGCATGTTGAAAAAAAATCAGAACAATTTAAAGGGGACATATGATGCGATTTCAAATTTTCCTTTCTCCTTGAAGTGTTACAAGCTGTTGGTGCATAAAGATCTGTAAAGTTGCAAAGACTAAAGTCTCAAATCCAAAGAGATATTCTTTGTAAAAGTTAAGAGTCAAGAGTCACGCCTACCTAAAACGTCTAATTCTAACACACCCCCATGTCTAAGTCATGATGTGGGAAGATTTGCATAATGCCGCCCAAATGTTCACGCAAAGAAAGAAGGCGTAACTTTTATTCTCGCTGTAGTATTGTTGCTGCCGCCATGTCGTGAAGGCGCTGTGTGTTTCGTTGTGAAAGCGAAACTACTTGTTTGGCCTTCCAAAAGAGGACGATATCCGCTTCGTCGTGCCTGGAGCTGATCCGTGCTGGTCGCTGAGGGAATACATCAATTACGCGCTGTGGATCGCCAGATCGGCTTTCACCGTGGATGAAGCGGAGTCCAGCCCGGGGTTGTCACATGTGGTTGCCGCAAGCCCACCGGCCGCTCCTTTGTCGAATCCACCAGCCGCGCCATTCTCAAGCCCGCCCGCCATCGCTCACTCTAGTCGCCGGCCTCCACTCACTCTAGCCGGCCGTGTGTTTCATTGTGAAAGCGAAACTACTTTGTTTGG